TAAAAAGTTTTATGAAATGTTAGAAGCTGCGAATGAGCCAATTTACAGTGGTTGTAGAGAAGGTCTGTCTAAATTGTCGTTGGTTGCTAAATGATGAGTATTAAAACCGATCACAATCTACCTGAAATTGTATGGATGCATGGGCAGACTTGTTTAAAGAATATTTGCCTGCAGACAATGTGTCTGCTGAATCTTATTATCAGATTCAGAAATTGGTATATAGTCTTGGGTTGCCCTCGGAGATGATAGACGTTTGCATCGACAACTGCATGATTTACTGGGGAGATGATGAGAAGTTAGAAGAATGTCGATTTTGTAAGAAGCCACAATTCAAACCGCAAGGTCGAGGGCGTAATAGGGTACCGTACCAAAGGATGTGGTACCTACCAATCACAGACAGATTGAAAAGATTGTACCAATCTGAAGAGACTGCTGGAGGGATGAGATGGCACGCCGAGCATACTCAGACGAATGGAGAGATGACTCATCCATCAGATGCAAGAGCCTGGAAACATTTTAACAATGTACATCCACATTTCGCTAGCAATATCCGGAATGTGTATCTTGAATTATGCACTGATGAATTTAGTCCATTTGGAATGTCAGGGAGACAATATTCATTGTGGCCGGTCTTTCTTACACCGTACAACCTGCCATCAGAGATGTGCATGCGACGAGAGTTTCTATTCTTGACCATATTAATACCTGTTCCAAAGAATCCAAAAAGATCTCTCGACGTTTTTCTACAACGACTGATAAAAGAGTTGAAAGATTTGTGGTCAACAGGGGTGTGGACATATGATTGTTCAACGAAAACAAATTTTACGATGCGAGCGATGCTTTGTGGACCATAAGTGACTTTCCTGCATATGGGATGTTGTCTGGGTGGACTACACATGGGATATTAGCTTGTCCATATTGTAATGGAATGACAGATGCGTTTCAGTTGAAGCATGGTAGGAAGACTAGTTGGTTTGATTGTCACCGTCGATTTCTTCCGGTTTACCACCCACGCCGAAGAAACAAGACATTGTTCAGGCACAAAAAAGTTTTCAGAGACACTCCTCCATATTTAACTGGAGAACAAATCGAAGCGCAAATCGATTACTACGGTGCTCTAGAAACAGATCATCGTGGTGGGAATTGGCATGTTCCCAGTAATATGTCTGATTCTTATGGTGTTTAACACAATTGGCACAAAAAGAGTATATTTTGGGAATTGCCATATTGGAAAGATCTTCTTTTGCGCCACAACCTCGATGTGATGCATATAGAGAAGAACTTTTTTGAGAACATTGTGAACACTATATTGAATGTCCCAGGGAAGACGAAAGACAACGTAAAATCGAGGTTGGACTTACCCGATATCTACTCAAGGAGTGAGCTACATATTAAAAGCAATGGGCAAGTTCCAGTTCGATATTCAGACTGTCATCAGAAAAAAAAAAGTTTGCGTTATTTAACTGGGTGGCTTCAGAAGTGAAGTTCCCTGATGGGTATGTTTCAAATCTCTCAAGATGTGTTGAGAAAGGGCAAAAGTTTTCCGGGATGAAAAGCCATGATTGTCATGTCTTTATACAGCGACTACTTCCCTTTGCATTTGCGGAGCTACTACCGGCAAAAGTACATGAAGCACTTTCAGGTAATTAATATAATACGACGCAAAGATTAATTTATTTCTTTATATATATATACTAACGTGTATAATTTTTTTTTGTAATATATAAGGAATTGAAGCATTTTTTAGGGATCTGAGCACCCGCACTCTTAAGGAGGAAGTTGTCCAACAACTTCATGAAAACATCCCCATCTTAATCTGCAACTTGGAGAAAATATGTTCGCCTACTTTTCTCGACGTCATGGAACACCTAGTTGTCCACCTTCCGTATGAGGCATTACTTCGTGGACATGTGCATTATTGATGGATGTATAAGTATGAAAGGGCCATGAAAACTTTGAAAGGAAAAGCCAAAAACCTAGCAAGATTTGAAGGTTCTATTGTTGCGGGAAGTTTGACGGAAGAAATATCTCATTTCACATCGTACTACTTTGCACCGAAAGTACGTACAAGGAAACGAACTCCAAGAAGATATGATGATGGTTGTGTTGTGCCGACATATATGGAAGACGATGTTCCAGACATCTTTTGTCAAATTAGGCGATTGGGTGGGAAATTGAAAGAGGTTTGGTGGTCGAGTGATGAAAACGTCCATAGTGCACACCTTTATATTATTCTTAACTGCGAACATCTATTGATTAGTTATTTTGAAAGGTAAATATATAAACATACACACTTATATATATATATATATATATATATATATTTCAATATTAAATAACATAACATATATGATTTTACAGCCAATTTGTGACTCAAGTCGAAGAAGCAATACCTGGTATATCGACAACTGAGTTAGACAAAAGAAAAGATCAACACTTTATCAAGTGGTTGAGGAAACACGTATTTATTATAACTTAAATTTTATGCATACATTACCACAAAGTAATCTAATGTCTAGTTCTATTACTTTTTTGCAGGTTGATTATGATGATCCTGAGTATCCCGCATGGTTTCGCGAATTACTTAAAGGTCCAGTTGCAAAGGTCACTGCATCATCGATGTATTTCACCCGAGGCTATACTTTTCATACCTATGACTATGGTAGACACCGGGCGACTTATGGAATATGTGTGAAAGGCAAAACAGATTTCTACGGGATGTTACATGAGATTTATGAAGTTTAATTCCTAGGTATGAGTTTGAAATGCGTTATCTTCAAGTGTGAGTGGTACGACCCCGTCGTCAACAGAGATGTTCGGATTAAGAAGAACGGTGTAGTTGATGTCAATGGTGGATGAAGGTACAACAAATATTTTTTTTTTACATCCAGGTTTTGAGTATTAATTAATTTCTATCTTGTCTTTATTTTTGCAGGTACAACAAGTTCGAGCCTTTCATATTAGCTTCCCAAACAGATCAAGTTTGCTTCATTCCATATCCTCGGATTACTACCTCGGGAATAAACTGGTTAGCTGTTATCAAAGTTACACCTCGAGGACGAATAATCGATGGAGAAGAACCACCATTATAAGAAGAAAACACCAATGAGATCGAGGAACCTGAAGCAGAAATTGATGACATCCTACTCACTGATCCGCATAATCGTGAATACGATGATGTTCCAGATCACTCGACGGACGAAGGTGTAGAGGACGAGTTTTACGAAAATGATGATGTTTCAACAAATTAAGAGAATGTATCTGAATGAATTATGTATGTTTATAAGTTTGTTTAATCACAAAAATGAATTTGAATTATGTATGTTTTAAGTTTGTTTAATCACAAAATTAATTTTCATTTGGGGTTTATGTGTAGAAGATGTTAGGAGCTTGGTTGTAGAAGAGGTTATAAGTTAAGGAAGTTGTGGTTTGGGGTTTGGGTTTTCGAGTTTAGGGATTTACAAACCCTTTCCTTGTAAAACCCTAGTAACAGAAAACGCGGGCATGGCTGTTTCCTCGTAAAGTCCTAGTCACACTGTTACTAAGACTTTACGAGGAAAAAAAACGCGGGCATAGTTATTTCCTCGTAAA